AGCATNTGCATGTTTACTTAGTGAACTGAACAAATTGTTTACAAGAAATTTAGAACCGAAGAATCAATTTCCACCGCAAGAATGGGCGTTGATAAGTTTTTGTTACGTTGTTATGTGTACGAGAATTAATAATTGCACGTAATACATCAAGTTTTAGTAAAATATCAAAGTGTGAAGATTCGAGTAAAAAAAGCTCGGCACGGAACGTGTTAAAAAATGCTTAGCCGTTCGAAACCTAACCTAATCGTACTACAAAAATACTCTCCCTCGATCTTATCATAATCTGCTCCCTCTTAACGACCACAAAAAAAACGTGCCGCAATTTACGGCAAAAAGACTCCATTACTTTAATGCAAAATATCATAGGCCCTCGTTAATGGATTCCGTTCTCGTCCAATTATCGATTGTCGTTTCAAATTAAACATTCGGAAGAAAGCCTCTCCGGGCGTTCGCAATGAGTACGATTAGCATAAAGTGACGTCCCCCGAATCGGTGGCTACATTGTTGAAATCTCGCGATTTAATGATCATTCATCGGCTGAGTGTCAGTAATAATGAGCGTCGTGTATGCAGGCTCCGCCGCCGATTGCGCACAATTATCGACGGAATTACCGCTTTGAGAATTATAAACGGCCGACGGATTATGCGGAATGTTTAAATCAGTGACGAGCATGATGTTGCATTTAGAATCACGCGCGCATTCACCGGTTGCTAACGGCCGAACCGGATGCGACACGCCTACGCGATGCGCTCGCGGGAAACGTGGCGCTAATTCATTCGCGAATCATTCGGCATGGATCTTCACTCGACACTTTTACAACCGGACTGCTAACTAATTGCCAATTAACCATCCGATCATTACTCATTACTTGTTCATTCTTGTCACCCGGTTTCACCATTGACTACCCATTGTCCATCCTCGATATCTAATTATCCAATTAATCAATATTCTGTCGCGCAATTTTTTACTGTCCCTGTTGCGTGCTGTACGGTGTTCGAAAACTTGTTTCGATTCATCATATTTTTTGTTAAAATTGCGTTCGTCAAACAATTTTCGTTGGAAAAGGAACAAGAAAAACGAAATTGTACACTAGCTATAGCGTCACTTTAATAATCAATCTATAGTCCTCACGCGACAAGAAGACACCTTAGTGTTCACATCCCCCCCCCCCCCTTACTAGCTGTCCCGCTGCAGCGATCGGTCGCTATTGACCGACGGCGATCAGTCGATCCCACTGCAGCGATCGGTGACTATTGACCGACGGCGATCAGTCGGTCCCACTGCAGCGATCGGTCGCTATTGACCGACGGCGATCAGTCGGTCCCACTGATCGCTGTCGGTCAATAGTCACCGATCGCTGCAGTTGGACAGCTGGTAAGAGGGGGAATGTAAACGAAGAGGTGCCTTCTTGCCCCGTTTCTATTAAAAATGGCAAATTAAAACAGAGAAAGAAATTATCCATTGTCTATTTTGTTAGAAGAACACCTATGGAGAGAGAGAGAAATTCCAAGAAATATTTCTCCAATATTTTTATAGGCTTTCCTAATATCCAATGTTCATCAATAATCTTGTTTTGCCGAAAACGATGGAGGAGGATTTCTAATATTTAATGTACATTCTTATTAAGAAAGACAAAAAAATTGAAACAGAAAAAGTAATTATTCATTACCTATGAAGGTCAAATAAACATCTATAGAATTTACTAAAAATGTTCCTTCAAATTTTCTATAGGGTTTTCTAGCATGGAACGTACATCGATGATTTTGTTATACGAAAAATGCTACCCAAAATTTTCTGGTACACAATCTACCAATTTATTGAAAAGAAAAATTTAAACAGGAAAGAAAAGTTATCCTTTGTCTATGTTGTCCCATAAACACCTATATAATTGAA